ATACACACACACACATACATACATAGAAGGTGGAAAAGAGTTAAGAGATCTGGAAATTCTAGGTGCTATTATTCCAAGTTTAGTGATGGAGTTTATCCCGAATTCAGATTCTTCTTGTGCATAAATCTTATAAGAAAAAGTTATCTTGTGCATGCAAAGCTACTTGAGCAGAGGGGAGGAAATCAATATACTATACCCCAAAATTGCAAGCGGTGCTGAGTTACTGAAAGTTGCTGGTGACTGACTATTTACTTGGTGTCTTAGCTACCCTTCATATTGCTGGGATAAAATACCCACACCTATAGTTAAAGGGGGAACAGTTTATTTGGCTTACAGTGTGTAGAGGTTTCAGTGTATAACTGGTTGGCTCCAAGGCAGGGTGGATGGCAGAGGGGCAATGTAGAGGAGAAACAGTTCGTGGCAGAAAGAAGACAGCAAAAGCAAGCAAGAGACAAGCAACAAGCCTCTTTCTGTCTTTTATATCTTATCCAGGCTACCAGCCCTTAGGGCAGGTAAGCACTCACACCCTTAATCCTAGTGTCCTTAATCCTAGCACTGCACCATGAATGAATCCCAGTGCCACACACTCTAGACATAGTCACCTCTGAAAAGCCCCACCTATGACCGCATGAGGCTTTGTGGGGGGACATCTAGATACAAGATATAACATATGGCATTCTAAAGTTCACCAAGCACAAGATATTTTATAGCAAGAATGTCAATGGTGCTCATAGCAGCACTATACTCCTCTGTATTCATCGCCAGCTCTATAAAATATAGAATGTATCTGCAACTGTTAATGTAGTCAAGAAGCAGTCTTTTTGTTACTGTCTTAATGTAAACATGAGACTATCAACAACCACATTCATAAGGCAACCCAAAAAGTTTCTGAAAATTCTTATATTAAAATATTTCCCCAACATCATTAAAAGGGTCTATTTAAATATCAACTTCTATGGAGAAACCTCAAGGGGATAAATACAAACAAAGCATCTTTTATTAGGACTACAGTCAGGAATTCGGTCTCTATAGAGTTGCTTTTTCTTTTAAAATACTACACAGTGATTTCTCAAAGTGGTACTTGGACACTGAATTTCAAATTACTTAACCAATTAACAGTTTACCCTGAGCATCACTTGAGCAGTGAGTCTGTTTACATACTGACTATTCTGAGGTTCACTGGGGCAGGTGTCATTTCCACCATTCAATTCTTGTTTGTAGGTGATACACTTGTACATCTATTGATTTGTTTTTATATTGTATTTTTTTGCATGTTTTTTTATTTAGAATGTTGTATTTGCCTTTTACATTTGTTTCTAGTGAAACCTAATAATAAGTTCTCATTATTTTCTTACTAGTTCATATTTATTTTATTTGTGAAAAATAACCTATAATTTTGTGCTACAATCTATAAAAACTCTTATTATAAGTACATTAGATATAATTTTTATACTTCTCCAAAATTCAGTGATATCCTTTTACAATAGAAAATGGGCATCTTTAAGTCACTGAGACTGAGTAGGAAGAAGTGCCAAAAGATCTGCGAAAGAAAAAACTGAAAAAGGGAGAAATGTTAGCATATCAGGGAGGAAAAGTCTGTGTTATGAAATGGAAAGACAAAAGAACAACATCTCCCTTATTGTCAGCTATTCATAATACAGAAATGATGGAACTTGAAAGACAAATCAAAACTAAAAAACTTTTCAATAGTCAATGGGTGGTATTGACAGAGCTGACCAACATCTAACAAACTATCAAACAGGAAGGAAAAAAATATTATTATAAAATATTTATGCACCTTCTGGACCAAACAATATGGAACTCATCCAAAACAAGCCTGCCTCGCAAGCATAAAGACCTTAGTTTGATCCCTGGACATACATACACACACACACACACACAAACAAAACAAGGGAGTTCAAAAGATCATTTACAATTTATATTACGGCTAATAGACCAAATAATTGAAAAATACAGGATGGCAAAACACCAACCAGGATATCCATCATTGACATTGTCACTGTTTTGTTTAGTGGGTAGACATTTTATTGAAATTATACCACTCGCAGAACAAATGGAAAAGCCAACTTGACAGTGTAAAGTGTGTTGTTCAAAGAAAGACAGTGATGTAAAAAATTTGGAAAGCAACTAGATACCACTATCCAGATTATATCATACACAGAAAAACTACTGAATAAATTTGATAAATTTTTCATTTTTATATATCTTGTACATTATCTTATAAAATTGCTCACCTTGTATTTAAATGGCTACAGGATTGGTCTTTACTTTCTGGCCTCAAAAGAACCCTCACTTTAAAAAACAAACCCCATGAGAATAGTAACAAGTCTTAAAAATCACCAAACTCTAGCCCACCTCCATCTAGTTTATGTGTAGCTAGATATTTGTTTAGCACTTTCCCCTTACCATAGGACTCAACACAATTTACTTAAAAACTTAATAACTAAATTCACTGTCTGTCTGAGTACTTTGGTTTTTTTGTTTTGTTTTTGTTTTTGTTTTATTAATTGAGTTTATTGGTACATTTTAGGACTCTGAGTACTTGTCAACTCTTCTGAGGACAGAATCCAACTAAGAATCTGAGAATCCAGCTAAGGAAAACTTTCAGGTATGATATTGAAAAAAACAAAAACAAAATTGACTACTGTGCAAAATCAAATCAAGAGGGACTATAATTCTGCCATTAGTATTCTACATACCTTCATGATTGATTACCCATGATTAGTAAGTTAATATTACTAAACAACCACAATATGTATAAAGCAGTAAAATAACTTTCCACATGCATACTTCTACTTGTGCTAAATCTCTACTATGTTTTATATTCTTTACCTAATTTAATCTTCAAAGCAACCCAGTAAAATAAGTATTTATAGCTCCATTTATATATGAAGAGCTAAAATTCAGAAGAGAATCCTCTTTCTGTGACTCTACCCTGACATTTGTCAGACCACATTATAATTATCTGTTTATGTGTCTCTCTCCTCCCTTTACAGAACTTTGTGAGAGCAGAGAATGTGATATCTCGGCATCCTAAAACAATGAATAGAAGGGCCAGGGATTTAGCTCAGTGGTTTGGTGGCCTGCCTTACAAGTGCAAAACCTGAGTTCAATCCCCAGTACCAAAAATAAAACAATGAATAGCACAAAGTATACAAATTAGACATCTGCCTAATAAATAGTTAAAACAATTAATGTGTCCAATATTACAAAGCAAGGGACTGGAATTCAAAGCCATGTCTTTTTTCAGGACTGTGGATCAAACTTGGGACCTTGCGCTTATGAGGCAGGCAGCAGTATCACTGCGCTAAAATCCCCAGTCCCAAAGTCATGTCTTAATTCCAACAAGCAAGTACACTGCACTACGCCATGCCACCTTTTAAGAAACAAAGTATTTTAAGACAAGTGACCCTCTTCAGATTCCAAGGGTAAGAGTCCATATCCTTTATGATACTATTTTTATACACGTAATATATTTACTTCTAATAAATGAATTATAAGTAGTAAGTGATTATTAGGACTTAAATATACAATATTTCTAACTTTTTTTAGTAGAAATTTGTAAGAGTACTCAGAGATATCTAGAGTGAACAAGAGTAAAAAAAGGACATTCCACGTGAGAAAGAATATATTCAACTCCACCTATTTGATGTGTAGTCAGACATGCAAATTCTAAATAATTGTAAATTGGCTTCATGTTCTTTTACCCAATAAAGAATAAGATGCTTTGCAATAATGAATGGTAAGAAATCAGCCTTGATTAACTAAAGGCTTGTAGGACTTCTTCTGTATGTTAGGATAGCTACGTTAATAATATTCTGGGGCGGGGATTTAGCTCAGTGGTTCCAGCACCTGCCTCACAAGTGCAAGGGCCCGAGTTCAATCCCTGGTACCAAAAAAGAAAAGAAAAGAAGTCTGAAATTCCAGCACTCTGGGAGGCTAAAGCAGAAGGATCACAAGTTTGAGTCCAGGCTGGGCAATCTGGTGACAGTGAAATTCTGTCTCAAAATTTAAAATAACAATAATAATAATCATGATCATCATTATGATCATGATGATGATCATGATCATCATTTGTTCCCACATTCCCATTTAGAAGGCTCTGTTTCTTCCCTGGGAAAAGGACACAGAGGCCATTTCTTACATTATCTAGCAGGATCTGTCCTCAGTGGCTTTGCTGTAGGGAGTGACATCATCTCCTGCTACCACTGGCATCAGAGAATCCTGGTCTGTGGGTTGTGAAAATCAGGTCCCAGGAAATCAGGCAGTATGCATGACTGATAAAAGCAGAACTTCAACCCAGTTACCTACAGTGCAAAGACTGGGAAGAAGACCTACCTTCTAATGCAAAAACTGTTTTCAGAAAACCTCAAGTATATTAAAAAGAGTAAGCGGATTAAGTTTAAGGTGCACAGACTAAGATAGTAAACACAAATATAACCAAAACCTTACTTCAACAGAAGATTCAGTTTAATTCTCAATCTGCTCTTCACAACAGTAGATCTTAAACAGTTTAAATTCTTTAAGAGAATTTCTGTATTTAAACTGTTTTGTCAGACACAACATAAAAATGTACACTAATATCTTAATCAGGAGCATGAATTTCTACCAATTAGCTCTATGGCTGTTGCCGGATATGAGGAGTTAGGAAAAGTAATGATGCAAATAGAGATCCGTCTATTTTATCTTGACCTTGTATTTCTGATATTTTTAAAATTATAATTATGTTGCACAATGATTTTTCACCAAGATTGTAAATCTGTCATTTATCAGTATTTAATGAAAAATGCCTTTGAATTATGGAAGCAAATCCATGTTCAATTCTATTTCTACCATCAGTAGCAGTATAAATTATTACAAACTGCTTCAATGTCCTAAGCCTCTGTTTCCTCATCTGTGGTAAATAATGATGCATATAAAAGTACTCAAGAAATGGTAACTGCTGTTATTCTTCAAAGTACTGCTGAACTGACCTTAACTATAAAAATTTCTCACTGCGATAAGTGCCCCCAAAACTAAAACCCTAGGCCACCTAAATCTTTTCAGCCAAGGTCAACATTGCATCATTAAGACCACCACCAGAAAGAAATGACTGAGAAAAATTATAATGGAAATTAAATTCACCTCCTTATCTCTCATAATTATTTTTACTTCATCCAGGGTCTTCCGGCTACCTGAAGAGTCTTCTCTTTCAAGGTCAAAAGTTTCAGGGGAACTTAGCTGTGTCTCTGTAATTTAAGAAAATTAAAATACCATTAATTTTCATTTTAGGTTTTCATAATTTTTTAAAAAACACCTATTTTCCCTGAAGTTTAGAGTCTGATAATGCTGCAATGACAATACAGATCTAATCTATTTCTTCTTAAAGCTCTACAGAGTTCACCTATGTTCAGCATATAATTGAGTTTTGACAAATATATAGCACTCTTACATGGTACCATTTATACCATGTCACTACCACCATAATAACAATAAAGAACAATTTCCAACAACCCACAAGGTTCTTTGGAACCCTTCTGGAGTCAATCATATTAGTTTACTTTACGTTCCTATAGTTTTGCCTTTTCTTTTTTCTTTTTGAGACAGGGTATCGCTTCGTACCTCAGGCTGTCCCTGAACTCATTATGTAGGCCAGGCTGGCTTGAATTCATGGCAATCCTCCTGTCTCAGTCTCCCCAGTGCTGAGATTACAGGTGTGGGCCACAATGCACAGCCAGTTTTGCCTTTCCTATAACGTCATATCAATGTAATCACATAGTGTTTAGTCTTTTGTGTCCAGATTCTTTTGCTTTATGGATATCAAAGGCATTCATATTATCACATGTATCAGTCATTCATTTCTTTTTATTAGTAATACTCATACTTTAAGTATGTAAAGTAGTAAGTAGTAAGTAATACCCATACTTTATATGGATATATCACAATTTTCTTTATCCAGTCACCAGCTGATCTAGTTGACTTATTTCCACTGTAGTTCTAGTTTCAAAATACATTAACTTTTGACAGAAAATAAAAGCCTGTCAATGTTAATACTAAGGTTAAAGGGATGATTACAGGGAAAACAGAAACTAGAAACAGAAATAGATTTATATTCTAGACAAAGACATGCTTTTATTCAATATATTCTTTAAGCAAAATCTACTAATTCAACAAATACTGTATTGATTAAACAAGTCTCAAGTATTGTACTAGCTACTACTAATAGAGATAGATATAAGTTGGAGGTACCCTGTTAGTTCAGGGACCAGCAAATTACATATAGGTCATGGACCAAATCCAGCTAGCTGTCTGTTTAGTAAATAAGGCTCTGTTGTAACATAGCCACATTCATCTTTATATTGTTCATATTGTTTGTGGCTGCTTTTGCACTAAAATGGCAGAGATGGGTAGTTTCAACAGTCTATGGCCCCCAAAGCCTAAAATATTTATTAGTCTTTTATTTAAAAGTTTGAGGGGGGAATGTGTTAGGTGGGGGAAAATAAATGAAAAAAAAAATCTTTGAAGTTTACTAACTTCTGCTCTGGACACCTACTGCTTAATATAACAAAGGACTAGTAATCATATTTCAATTAACAACAAATCTGGAAATGAAATGCTATAAAACTGAATGTTTGGGTCTCTCCCCAAAACTTCATGTTGAAATTATAACTCTCTATTGTGATGGTATTAGGAAGTGGGATCTTTAGGAGAAATTTGGTTGTAAGGGTGGAGACCTCAAGAATGTAATTAGTGCCCTTATAAAAGGGATCCAAGGGCTGAAATTTAGCTCAGTAGTTCCACCACCTGCCTCACAAGTGGAATGACCCAAGTTCGATCCTCGGTATTAAAAAAACAGTGGGGGGGATCCAACAAAACTCTCTTGCCATCTTTCTACCATGTGAGGACCAGAGAAAAGGTGCCCCCTATGAACCAGGAAGTGGGCTCTCACCAGACACCGAATCTGCCGACGCCTTGATCTTGGATTCCCCAGCCTCCAGAACTGTGGGAAATAAATTTCTGTTGTTTATAAGCCACAGTGTATGGTATGTTGTTATTGAACTGACACAAAAAATTTATCTCAGAAAGCAAATCCTGTAAGTTCTGTTGTTTGACACTGCATCTGCTATAACTCTAACTGGTACTTTTGTACTTCATAAAAACAATGAAAGGCCAATGTTAGGCAAACAAACTATAAGAAGATTCTAAAGTATCTTCTAATGATTAAAGAAGGATTAAATACAATTTTTCTAATATAAACTTTTTAAATGAGAGAAAGAGATTGATATTTCATTTCCTTCATGAAATAAAGGTTCAGAAAGTGCATAAATTTCATAATCTCTTTTTAAGATTTCCTGATATCACAAAAGACATTCAGTCTGTTCAAAATAAGAGCTCTTCCTTACTTGGACTACTGCAATAATAAAAAGGGTTCAATTATGTTTTCTGTGAATGGCTGAAATGTCCAACTATAAATACAACTTAACAAGGCATAGCTCCTGAAAAATAAATTCTGAGAATATGCATAATGTAGGCAGAATATGTTTATGATCCTACTTCTTCAACACAATGAATAACAATATAAAATACTTTAACTGTGAATATCAAATCCTTGAAACTGTCAGAAATATGAGGCAAAAGGAAACATAGACTACTACAACCAATTTGTGCTTCAACTATCTAGATCAATTATTTCCAGACAATTTAGAAGCACTGTTTCTCAATTATATATTTAAAAAGAAACTTGGGCGTCGTGCTTAGCAAAAGGAGCATTAATGTTCTGGAAACCTTTTGCAATCTCATGTGTAAGTGGTTTATGTCAGCAAAGAGTTGAACTTAGTTCATAGGCTAATGATAGCAAGTCATGATCATAAAAACTATCAAACCTCAGTTATCAAGGACTTCTTTTTCCCCTCTTTAATTAAGCAGGACATTCAAGATCATTCTATCTGCAGATTCCTCCTGCAAGATCTAATGATGACATGACATCATCCTACATAGGCAGACTAAGTGACATCACAGAAAGATAAGCATAGGTCAGGAGACTATGTCTATAATCCTGCTTCATTAAAGATGTGAATAACAATTAAAAAACACCATAATGATAAATATTAGACCCTTGACAATGTCAGAAATATGAGGCAAAAGGAAACATAGAATACTGCTCAGAGAGAGGGTAAAGCTTTCTTCTCACGAGACAGCAAGCCATTCTTGAGTACTCCTGCCAAAACCAGAGCACTTGGTAGTGAGGTCTCTTGGTGAATATCATTAGGCAGTAATCCAAATGTATTTCAAATGAATTAAGGAACTTCAATGAAAGCTAAGATAATCACATTTTTAAATAAATAAAGATCTTTATGATAGGCTGCCAAATATTTTAAAATATTTACAGGACTTTCCTAAAATACATGTTAACTAAATCTTAGTCTCTGTGGGAAAACAAACTGAAATCAAAACCAAAATTATAAAACTATAGGCATCTCTATTCCTGAGACTATGTGAGACCTGAAGGAAAAGCCAACTATGACTTATAGTAATATTTGTACACCACTTGCTGTTTCAACATTATTACGAAGTTCCTCAATCTCATATGAAAGAAGTTATAGATGAATATAGTTAGCACAACCTCTTATTTTTTTTGTTTTTATTTTTTTGAGACAGGGTCTCACTATGTAGTTCAGACTGCCCTGGAACTCACTGTGTAGCCCAGGTTGGACTCGAACTCACAGTGATCCTCCTGCCTCGGCCTCCTGAGTGCTGAGATTACAGGCATGCACCACCATGCCTGGCAGCACAACCTTTTAAAATACAAAAAGCATATAAACTAAAACAAATTCCTTAGAAAGTTGTGGCTGGTAACACAAAATAATTCTTCATATTATACAATAATTCAACTCAAAGTTCTCTTAGTGGGTATCTTAGTTCATTAAAAAATATTTTGTATAACTAAATCCATCCATATATAACTTTGATTGAGCACCTCTTATATTTAAAGGTATACATCTTAATCTCTACAACTAATGAAAAACAAATTAAAGTATTTAACCAGGTTAAGTACCTTGTCTAAGATTAAAAATAAAGCAAAAAGCTATGCATAAAATTCAATTCTGGAGTATCTACAAATAAAAATGCAATGAACAGCAGTGTCAAAACTAGCAGCCAAGCGTAATTCCAGCACTTGGAAGGCTGAGGCAAGAGAATCACCACAGGTTTGAGGCTAGCCTTAACTACATAGTAAGACACTGTCTCAAAATAAATAAATAAACAAATAAAATTTTTAAAACAACGAACTTGGGCTGAGGATTTGGCTCAGTGGTTCTGCCACCTGCGTTGCAAGCTCAAGTTCCCAAGTTTGATTCCTGGTACCAAAAAACAAAAACAAAAACCAAAAAACAACGAATTTATAAAAGACTTGGAGAAAAATCTAATTAATAACTAAGACTTCAGGATGGATCAACCTTCAGAATACATAAGCCAAAACATAAAAGTCCTCTGGCTCTGAATGTATAAATTAAGTAAGGGCTATTCCTGATAATTTGTTGCCATCTTATAAGGATGAGAAAGAGACAAAACAGTCATGCAAAATTCAAAATTAATTACCCTTAGAAGTATAGGCTGAGCATCAGAGCCAATGACCACTAAAAATAAATATGAACTTATGTACACACATGTGACATATACATACATCAATCACACATAAACCTCCTGAGAATAGTTTGAAGAGAAAAAAATTTCAGGAATGAAAAGGTAGGTAGCTGGGTATCAGAAATTCAGTAAAATCACAAGGGATACTTACCAGGACAAACAGTAATTTCTTCTGCAGAACTCTCTGGCATAAGGAGTAACCTTCTCTTACTGGTCAAAGTAGCAATGCTGAAAAAGAACCAAACATCAAGTGAATCCACAATAAAATAAATCTAAATACAGTGCCAAAAGCAATGGTGAGTCACTTACAAACTCACAGGTAATCTGATACATACTATCCAATACCACAAAAGCACAACAGGGAAACAAAGAAGCAGCAGTGAAAAAAGAAGCAGCCAGGCCAGAAACAGGGAACATAAAAATGCTTACATCTTCATTTCCAGCAAAATCACTGAATGAAAAGAAACCCCCTTTTGGAGTCTTCATAAAAGAAGGCTGAAGGGTAAAAATAATCTGTGAATATCACAGAAGACAAAAACTCCACTCCAATAAAAAAAATATCAAAAGTGGGGCCGGGGATTTAGCTCAGCGGTTCGGTGGCCTGCCTTGCAAGTGCAAGGACCCGAGTTCAATCCCCGGTACCAAGAAAAAAAAAAAAA